CACACACACACACACACACACACACACACACACACACACACACACACACACACATTGATTTGACCTCCATTCTCTCTTTGGTGTTCTTGTTCTTTTCTTTTTATCCTTCACTTTTGCATAAATCTGTATATTTAACTTTATATATTCATGTGTGACATTATAGTATATTGTATGTTTCCTTTGTGGGCACTTTTTCAGCAAGACCTTGGTTGCCCAGGGAGCATAAACCCCCCACCCCATATTGTTCATGCACACATATGAATACATGCAGAGTTTTGTTGTTCTGAATCTGTCTGTGTATATGTGTATGTGTAAGTGCGTGTACACTGGTGAATTGGGCACTGATTGATATTCCCATTCTTAATGTTTCAAAGGGCTATCAAACTGAACATTTTACAAAGCCCTAACAATTACAGTGGCATAAAACATTTGCGGCCTAATTTTGGTTTTAAAAGAGGGGAATTATTGACATGTTTTTCTGCTCCTCTCTTTCAACAAATATACACTCTATCATAATTTTACAAAAAGAAAAAACCTCATAAATATGGACACAGCACATGCATTCTTACTTCTAACAAACACACACAAAGTCAAGTCATAAATGTCGCTGGAAGGAAATGAAGGCAGCTGTGCTTTCATGGTTTCATTTGGTCTGTTATATTTGTCTGACCCCCTCACGTCCTTTCTCATACGCACACATTGATTATTCCATTACTACTTTGTTTCAACGTGTGACAGAAAGGTCAAACTGGACTCTGGTGTGTTTTTTCCCCAACGAACAGCCGTGCGCAACTTTAAATTAACGATGCAAAGATTCCCAAATATTTGCACTCACCTGAGAGCTGGTCAAGTTCTGCCCTTTTCCAGCAGTGCTGGCTGCTAAGCAACTGTGTGACCCACTGAAATCATGGGATTTAGTCAAACTCAATACAGTACAAAACTATATCCAGCTGTGCTACATATGTGCAGCTGGGAACCCTTAACTCTAACAAAAATACCTCACAAAAATTAAAGGGGCAACATTATGTGTTTCTCAGGCATATATTTAAATATTATACCATAATAAAGTATCTATGTCCCCTTTAGTTGTTATTAAAATGCTGTTTTTATGTTTAAATAGAAAATAAACTTATCTTCTCATCACTTCCTCTTCTAAATGCCTTGAAATTGGCCTCTGTCTCTTTAAGAACCTCTTTCTGCTTCTGTCGCATCCATTTCAGTGCGGGGGGAATCGCGTGTGTGCTATGATGCAGTTTACTTGGCATCTGAAAATACCTCAAAGGTATTTTGAATCCGAAAAGAGCTTCACTGAGTGAGAAGTAGTGTTAAGAGCAGCAGCCAGTTTAAGTTTCACTTTCACTTTCACTCGTTTGCTTTGTTACTGCCGAGAGCCTGCAGGAGTCATGGGCGGGGTGTGTGGGGAGGGGGTGCGCTCTGCCATGAGGTAGTTTGGCTTAAAGACACGTCCCAGGGGCGTTTCTGGTCCCAAAAGGCGTTTCTGGTCCCCACCTGTCGTTTTGCTCCTCAGCATGGCTGCCTAAAAACGCTACAGGATTTCTCAAACATGCATGAATGACTCAAAGCAAGGCTTTGGCCGTGTTTTTATGAGAGTATAGCATTATAGCATGATATAAAACTCAAAAAAGTTGATTTTACATGATATTACCCCTTGAAAGGCCTAGCATTTATTTGAAGGAATGCATATTGCCCATCACTTATCAAACCAGATTTATAGACTAAGATTATCTTATGTTGACAAAAGAAGTTGTAGCTGTTTCAGTAAAACCTAGAAAATAATGTTTTGCTAACAGCCTTTTTTATCAGTTTGCTGTGGCAGTCGTCTTTAGCCAGGTTGACTCTAAATGTTTCTGCAAGTTTCAATAAAATTTGGCTAATATTCATGAGATATGTTGGTAATAGACACACAAGCACACAGACATAAAGACAAAAAATCATTATCAGCTACTTTTTGAGCAACCGTGTGATAAATCCCACTTTGAGGTTTTTAACCTGATCCACGTAACTAGCTTTGATGACAACTTCTGTACACACACGCATCATCTATAAAGGATGTCCTTGAAAGCATTTTTGAATCATTATTACACAGCAAAACTGATGAGACAGAGCTCGTTTTTATTTCACTTGAGCTGCTAGAATAATCAAAATGATTAAACATGTTTGTTTCTAACAAAACATCCTTCCAAAGGCAACATGACAGGCTAATATCGCTTCCTAACATATTGTGAAGGTACTTATCTGCAAGATTAAAGTATTACTGTTCCAGATATTTGAATGCAAAAGGGACAAGAAGGTTTGAATGAAGACCAGTGTCTTTTTGGGAAGAGCAATGGGCCCACTTATGAGGCCTCCGCTCATATGGATTTTATATCCATCCCCACTCACCATAACCATACAGTATTTGAATGCAAGGGGAGAGGTTTCACCTTGAATCCCAGTCAAGGCCATCTTTGATATGAATTTTACTGAGCACTGACAACCGCCTTGAGCACAGTGGTGGTGGTTGGTTGTTGCTGTGCTCATTTAAAAAGGATCCAACCTTTAACATCGTACCGCTGCCAAGAATGAGTTGTGTTTCTTAGAATCTCGATAAAATACCAACAAATAGATAAAATGAAATAAATAAATATAGCTGTAAGTACAGCTAAATGACTTAGTGGTTAACATTAATTTCTCACAGCAAGAAGGTTCTGGGCTCAAGCCCCGTATTGGGCCTGGGGTCATTTTTTTCTGGAGTTTACATGTTCCCCTCATGCTTGCGTGGGTTTTCTCCTGGGTACTCTGATTCCCTCCCACAGTCCAAAATAACATTCATGTTTAGGCTGCCTTCAAGCTTGGGCTTGGGCCTCCCTTGAAAAAGAGATCTGTGAACTCAATAGGATTTGCCTAGTTAAATAAGGGTCAAAAAAACATAAAAGGACTTTATGACATTTATGTTTGAGCATTTTTACAATAGCTAAGTACAACTAACAACTTGAAAACTGCACTTGGAAAGGTCAAAATCATAAAATGTTTCAAGAAAACTATGCCAACTTTGTTTTCATCTTAAAACTCCAAAGGTTCTTATCTCCATAACACTATCTTTAGATAGGCATCAGCCACAGATGCCATCTTCAGGTCAGACACACACAAACACAAGCAAAGGAATGTCATAAAAAAGGAGTAGACCTATAGTATGCAGGCACACAACACACGCACACATAAAGTGAACCCCTCATGTTAGCCTCTCTAGTTGCCTCGCTTCTCTATCAAATCCTTTGGGGGAAGGAAGACCCATGAAATAATTCCTGACATGACAGATCACAGAGCAGCACTGGTTGAGTCATCTCATTTCAACCATTTTCCTTGCATGACGTAGGCACATTTAAGGCAGCAGGATATCAAGTTTAAAAGTTGCTAATTTGGAGCTTTTTTATCCACTTAGATATTTGACAATTGTAGCTAAATTTGTTTTGTAGCTAAATCCAATACTGTCCTCTCATTCCACAAAACATCTATGCCTGAAAGATTTTTTTTTCTTTGTTCCTGCTCTCGGAGGAGTAAGACACTTTTTCCCTCTCTCCTGCCCTCCCTTATCTTCCCTACTTTGCTGCTTGGGAGCCTCCTCTACATTTTCATCTGAAACCAGAAATTGTGGATATTTTTATTTTTATGGATTTGGTTAGCTGGTCTCTTAATACATTTTTGGAACATAGTTTTCTTCCAGGAGAGGACATGTCAAAGGTGGGACCTCTGTTCTACTCTGTTCTGGATATATATTTGGATTCCGATCACTGGATTCTACAGATTGGCTTGGTGGTCGCCTGGTGTTCTGCAAAACAGCATCGGTGGCTGTTCATTTCCTGGCTGCCTGATCAATATGAAGGATTGCCGTTCTTTCAGCACTCAGACTTTTGCCTTGAGCAAGCTGGTGACTCGGTCTGTCAGAGGTTCTGCTGAGGGTCGCGGGCCGACTGTGGTCCCTGGACTTTGCTGACGAGATAGAATTAATTTTGGAGAAGCTGAGAGCTCGGCTTGGTGGGATTGCCCACACTATTTGTCTGATTGGATTTGCCACATTGAGGTGTACCAGCGGACATTAAGGCAGATGAAAAATTGTTATTGTCTGCCTGACCGAAAACATTATATTCTGTTCCCAAACAACTGATTACAGATTAGCCCACCCACCTCTCCTTGAAAAGGCTGTGGAACTAAAATCCTCCTGGTGTTTACATCGACTTGAGCCCCCCCACCTTCCCCCCTCTCACTCCGTCTAATCTGACCTCTTGAAGGATAACCTGACGCTGCACAGAATGAACAATTCAACACCAATATTCAGAACAAGGGCTGAACTATGGGGCTTTATCTTTTGGGGACTGGATTCTTCGGACTGATTCTTCAGATATTCACACAAGTGCATACAGCATTCATGGCTTCAGATACACGCCCTCTAAACTCACTCTCTTCTGGCTAATAAATGTTATCTTTGCTTGTAGAGGTTTTTTTTTTATAAGCACCACAGTTTGTCACCTTTTCTTGATATAATATGATGTTTTTTATTCCTCATCTAACCTTCTGTGGTATTTTAGTTTTTCTTTTTAAAAGGTAGCATGACCCCTGCTGGTTGCTGCATGACCTGATCACCTGTTCCCCCATGTTTTTGTCATATGTGTCTTCCTGAATGGGTGTTCTTAAATGTAATTTCATTGTACTCCGTACAATGACAATAAAGGCATCATCATCATCATCATCATCATCATCATCATCAAAACCAGAAACAGGACAATGAAAAAAAGCAGAATCACAAAACTCATTCAGTTTGTTTCTCTCAGAAAAAAAAAAAAACAATAAAAATAAACTTACCTTCAAGAATGACTTCTTTGCCTGTTTTTTTTAGCGCTTGAACAGCCTCATCATGTGTGGCCTCTCGTAAATCATAGCCATTGACAGACAATATGGCATCGCCAACATAAAGTGCTTCAGTCTGATCAGCAGCCAGCCCTTTAAAAATTTTGGAGATGAGGATGGGCATCTTGTTTTCCTTTCCTCCTGTACAACAACACAGAGAAACAGGTTTAGTTTTGCATGGCAATTGTTGCACAGTGGATTTAGATATTTGCCACCTAAACTGGAGTCTTTTTTTTTTACCCACTCGCACAATTTAAAGTCAATGAAGGTGTGTCATGATGGTGGTGTCTCTGCATTAGAGGATGACATCATTGATCCATAAAAGAAGAAAATAAAGTAGTTACTTAGTAACGGCAATCCTAAGAAAAGCTTCCGTTCAGCACAACTCAGAACTTGTATCAAAGCACTTTTTGCGTTTAGGCTTCTAAATCAAGTTAATTTACAAGGACAAACACAGACAATTAACCTCCTGTACTCATTTCTGCAGCTTCCTATAATGCCTTTTCCTTCATTCTGTCTCTCTTTGTCATTAAATAAAGGTCAAATAGTAAGGCAAGGTGTTTACTTGCTGGTGGCATCTACCCTTCACGAGAAATTTCATTAATCAAAAAAGATGGCTGTCGAGCATTCAGATGAGAAATATCCCATATCGGTATAAATACTAGCATTTTTACAAGTACTTGTATTCATACAAGTGCCTCGATATCTGGAACTAATAGCGATATTGGTATTGATACTCATTTCAATGTGTTACAGTTTACATAGTGAAAAGTTTGTCCATTCCATATTTAAGAAGATTTATAAATTGAAAGAAATTTTTTAAATTTTGAAACAGTGTATGAAGCTGTATATTTGATTTGATCCAGTCAGGCTGTAGGCATTTACTAAATAAAAATTGTGTTCTTAAAGTTATCGGTATCAATAGTACTGGCAAGTATCCAAACGGAAGTACTTGGTTTGAGAAAAACTATTATCAGGACACTAATGAAAAATAATTGAAAAGGAAAAGAAAAAGGCATTTATAGTTCTAAGTTTTCAGCACCAAGCAGAGGTGGGGATGTACAGCGAGGAGAAACACTGGCTCAACTTTAACTTATGACATCACACCATGTAGGAATTTCTTTGTGGGTGGGGTGTGTGTAGTTCCATTACACACACCCACAGTAACTCAGTCAGATTAAGTTAAAGGGAGACTTTATCTACAACATTTTCTCATCTAATGTGCAGTAATACACAGGCTCCACTGAAATTTTTTGTTGTTGCTTACACTTTGATGCTGGAAATTGAATGAATGGTTCACCAGATCATCCCGGCTGAAAGGGCCAGACAACATGAACACTCAGACCTGCAGCCAGAATGAATGAAGAGTGAACCTTTCATGTAGGATTCTGAACTCGGGAAGCAAACCAGGATATAAAATTTAAACTAATAATGGAATATGCAAAGTGCCCCAAAGCATTTTATATCAAAGAAAGAACATATATTTCTAAAGCCTCTATTGTAACGCATTCACAATTTTACAGGCCTAATACCACTCTGAACCCAAGGAAAAAAATGCATATTTCATATAATAGCAAACGTCCACTTTTCAATTAGACCTAAGGCTAATACGCTATAACTGCATCTAATATGGAACAATATTGTAAGTACAGATGGTCTATGCTTAAAAGCAGCACTTCACAGCTGCAGTGTGGGAACATTTTGGACTTGATCCAAATGAGAAATAGTGAGTTATGTACTCCTGTGCCAAACAATAAAGATAAAAATAAATTTCACTTTTTTGTTCCGTAAGGAATGGTGGAATGAAATTCATAAATACTTGACTGCATCGCCAGTCGAGTATTTAAATTCATTTATCCATTTATCCATCAAAAACTCAATGGGTCCTAGAGACTAGGAGCTGATAAGTTAAAGAAAAAAAATCACTTAGTTGTTCAGAAGTTTATTTGATAATTCAATGGCCTAACAACCTTCTGTGAAATGGAAAAGTAGCAGCTTTGATGTATAATCTGTGTCCTGGATCTGCAGCACATCTCTGCGAGCGCAAAAATTGAGACGGCAATCTCAAAGAAATGGTGAAAACTCAGCTCCTTCAACCTCTGTTTCAAATGATGCACCAGCAGCAGTGGATGGATGGATGGATGGATGGATGGATGGATGGATGGATGGATGGATGGATGGATGGATGGATGGATGGATGGATGATGGATGGATGGATGGATGGNGGATGGATGGATGGATGGATGGATGGATGGATGGATGGATGGATGGATGGATGATGGATGGATGGATGGATGGATGGAAGGATGGAAGGATTTTTCAAACACATAATGCAGGTGTTTTGCTCATTTCTTTACTTGACAAATAAACTTATTTGTTGCTAGTTTTAAGTTTTCCCAATAATTACATTTCCTACCAGATGAGGTTTATAGCAGTTTCTTTTACCTACATGATGAAAATAGAGTCTGCAGTTTGGAAAATCACTTTAAATCATTTGACCCCATTTTTCACAAACCGTTCACCCCAATCAAAGCTCTCATAGCTAGTTTTAGGATTAAATTCAAATACCTTCCAGTCACAAGTAGTTTCTCTAACCTCCAGGTCACCTTTGCCCCCAATTTGCACCATCATACATTTTGCAAATTACATTACCTTGTAATCTTCTTTTATTGCACGGAAACTTCACAGAACTACAACTGCTGCTCTAAAACTGCAGAAATATGATCACATGGGGTTTGAAGCTTTAATAAAAGCTTTAGCTATCAGGCAGGGGGGATTCCATCTCTTTTATGAGAATTTACAGCAAAAAGTAAAAATTCTCAAAATGCCAAAAAGACGAAGAGTAACTTACTATGCATAAACAAAACATTATATTGTCACTCAGCCTCAACCCAAGCAAAAACAGAATATTCATTACAAACTAAAACCTAAATGCCAAAAGAGTTTGAAATTTGATGATGTCATTCATGTCAAAATAATTTAACATCATCTCCAAACGGATGTGGTGTACTGTTAAAAAAACAGCTAAAAGAGATAAACAACTGAAGCAACCCTTTTCCCCATTTTGTCATCCTCTTGTCACATCTACTTTCAGGTTTGCCTCTCAGAACCAAACACCATTTATTCATATGACTGTTGAATAAACATCTTTGACAAACTGTAGCAAAAATAACCGTTAGCATGTCTGCCACTCCAGCACAGCTCTTTTTTTTTCTTTCCCTTTCCTACTTTTCCTTCTCTGACTTTTCATGTCAGATACTTCAGCACCCTCCAGCTGGCGGCCTGTCACTTAGCTGACAGGTGGGTGGCAGTGGGGGAGAAGAGGTGGGGCCACTCATGCTACTCATGGCAGGTAAATGAATGGTACTGGCACACACAGTACTGACAGGTGCCTAATTAGGTAATTTTGTGCTAACCGTGCGTTTGCTGGGGGAAAACTCCTGTCTAAGATTTTAGCACAGTCAGCACTTCGTCTAACTTTATTAGCCAAATTTGTTACAGTCCTAATGAAAAATGAAACAAACTGACAAAAAAAAAATTCAAAACAATTTTAAAACCTTCTTTTTCACATATAATTATTTATTTGGGGTCTATATAAAGTGGAACTGCAATGCTTTGGTCTGAATTCCTCCTCATTGTAACTCCACAAGCCCCTCTTTCCCCCCTTTTCTGAGGCTTGTCTCAGATCAACTCGTTTTTAGGCTGTCTCGCGCTTCACATCCCAACCTTCCCCCAGCTTCCAGACTGGTCCATTCTAGTTTGACTGAAAGTTTTATGTCTATGAAACATTTTATTTACAACTTAATCGAAATAAGTCAACAAGGGAAGACTTGTCCATCCAGCCTTACATGTTGGAGCCAGAGTCTGACCCAGAGCCAGAGGAGAATGAAGAATGAAGAGAATGACGACAAAGTTGTAGATGGTAATTCCAGACGAGAATGGAGCGAGAATGTGTTGTTCAAGCAGCGTCCCATCAGTTTTTTTTTCCATATTATTCAGCGTTAACAACTTATTGAACCCGCTAGGATGTGCAGGGAGATAGTCTGAAGCCAGTATTTAGGACTGATACTTAATGGACGTTCCGTTTACATCATATTCCGGGAACTGGTAAATGGTAGTGACGTCATTTACCAACAAACCATATGAAACTGCATTCCAGTTAGCTAACAGGCGATTGCTTGCCACTAAACTAGCTACAACACTGCTACAATGTAAACAATGACAAAAAGAGAGCTCTACTACATATGTCATGCAAATAAACATTGATTTTAACATGTACAGCATTGCACAGAAAACACACTACTTGTGCGAGTGATTAAACATGCACAAAAAATTAAGAAAGATAATAAATAGTAAAAGTTACGGAGTTAACTTTCTAAGCTGCAAGTAGCCGCCATCTTGAAATCGAAACTGGGGGCAGTTTCATTTCTTCCACTATACCAGTGGAATACTACCACTGGAGTTTAAGTTTAAGTTTTAAGTTCCATTTTAAATCTACCAATGGGAACTGGGAAATTACCACTTCCCAGGACTACTGGAATGCAGCATTACTAATAACAGCCATTTAATGGGTTGATAGCATTTGAAGCAGGTGAGCACACTCACACACCCAAACAAGGTCAAAGACATTTTTTTTGCTTTTTAGAGGTGCAATATTATAATGGATTATGTGTATAACAAAAAGAGTTTGGGAAACAAACAAGAAATTGTTAGATTTGAAATAAAATAAAAAAATGCCTGCAATAGTTTCAAATATGTGCTTTTTACAGTGATTTTTGCAATGATTTCTACAATTTTTGTCGCTTTTACTGTGAAAATCCCACAAATCTGCATAAAAATATGAGGTCTGCAAACCCCTTTTTATATTTTAAATGTATTTATTTTTGTTTTAACTTAGATAGGTGGGCATACCCAGAGACCACAAGTCTGGCTTCCCAGCCTCCCCTCTTAAATTTAGGCATGCAAGTAAAGGTTGCCTCCTTGCTCTTCTGGAAGCCAGGGTGGGCTCCCTAAAATTAACACTAGTGGAGTACTCCACTCCCAGCCACATAGCTTTCATCTTTAGTCAATGACAACTGACTGCTGCAGACTGCTCCGCTCAGCTGTTCACAGTGTGGTGTCAGAGAGGCCACAACAACTTCTGTCTTCTTTCATTTGCATTGCCCTCCTTCAATCTGACACATTTTCCTTTTTTTTTTCCTCCACCACATTTCCTCTTTTCTCGTTTAACTTCTTTGGCTCACTCCACGTCCCATCAAGTTTATAACACGCTTGTTGTGCTTGTATTCCTTTTTTATTGTTGTTACTCTCTTTGTCCAATCCAGCATGAGAACAGGCAGCACTGTAGCACTGTCAAGCCAACAGGCTTTTAGTTATGACTTTGTTTTAATAACACGCTGTCTCATTTTCAGAACCTTCCATTTTTCGAACAAGAGGACTTTACTTCTTTTTTTTTCTTTTGTCAACTTGGCCTTGCTCTGCTCTGAAAATAGAGGAAAAACAAACCGAACACATCACAAATCGCTTCAACAATTAGCCATCTCTGCGACATGACAACAATGCAGTTTTACAATCATCCATCAAATCCTGTGCTTCAGCCTGGAAGTCAAGTGTTTACCTGTGAACACGAACGTGCCAGGAGAGGGAGGGTGTGTGTGTGTGTGTGTGTGTGTGTGTGTGTGTGTGTGTGTGTGTGTGTGTGTGTGTGTGTG